TTCCGTCGCTCCTCCTTCTCCTTGGTTTCGCGTGCGCGCGCCTCCGCCTGTTTCTCGCGCTGATTGGGCCAGAGCCGTGCCCGTATGTCATCGATGCTCTGCGCGCACTGCTCATCCCTCGTGGCAATCTTGCGCAACAGATTACCAATAAAGAATGGTCCGTCGCCAATCCGCGAACTGGACACATGTATATGCTTGTAGTTGTAGTTGCCATAGCTGTGGCCACGCTCGGCCAGCGCTGTGCTTGTCGAGGTGCTCGCCTCATTGCAGTCAACATCCATGGGAGATGCGGCGCCGGCGGCCATTGTGTTGCCGCCATCGCTGAGCGAAAAGCTGTCCAAATTGCCGCTTAGCTGTGAGTGCAGCTTGAGCAGCAGCGACAATATGCTCTCGTCCATGTGCAGCTCATCCTTGTTGCCGGCACCGCCGATGGCAATGTCAACGGTGCGTTTGCGTGCACCGCTCGGATCGTAGCTCATGCGACCGCCGGGTCCAACAACTCCGCCGCTTAGCGCATTCGATGGCACCACGTCCATGTTGCTGCTGGGCACCGCAACCGGCAGACGCACCCGCTGGAAGGGCAACAGCATGCCGCTGCCCGTGGGCGTTGTGGGTGAGAACATTTCATTGGTTGTGCTAGCGGAGCCAGTGCGCGGCTCCCTATCTCGATCGCGTTCGCGATCCCGATCCCGGTCGCGATCATCGATCGTTGTCGTCTCTGCGAGCAGGAGATCACGTCTTATGGCCACTTCCATGCCGCTCTCGGGCAGCGTTATCTGTTGCAATGGGAAATGATGAAAATCTTGTGCTGCCGGACTCATGTCCATGGCCGTATCATGGCCATCATCATTGCCATCCGGCTGGAGGAGGACAACGCCCGTTTCGGCAACCACCGACAAATCTGGGACCAAGGCCACCTCCATTCTCATGCTGCGCGAGATGGCATTATTTCGCTGCTGTTGAGTGCGCGCCACGCTCATCGCACCCGATGTCTCGTCGAGATCGTCCAGTCCGTAGGTGTCGCCAATCATGCGCATCGCCTCTGTATCGACATCAAAGTCCAGATCCGAGAAGAAGGAATTGGAGCGATAACTGGATGTGGTCACTTGTGGATCCCGCGATTTTAGCGACACTTTGTTCACAACATGCCTCAGATTACAGCTAAGATTATCTGTGGGATAGCAATGGAAGAGCTTGGGCGGCTCACGCCTGTTCCCGCCATAATAATAGCCGGACTTATGCTGGGGCTCGCACTCGACCATGGCAACGGGCGAGGCTGAGGCACCGCCTGGAAATGCCCCAGATGATGACCCAGCAGCAGCATTCATATCACTGCTCGTCTCAACGGCAATCTCGAGCAGGAATACAGCTAAAGCTAGCAGATGCTCGGATACATCGCGCGTATGCACCGCCCGAAAGAATATCGAGAGTATTGTTGAGTGGAAGAGGCGAGAGTTCAGTATGCGACAAGGATCCGTAAACGAGCTGCCCACCGGCAGTGGCAGGCGAAACGGTGGCCATAGATTGCCGCTGGCTGGCATTTTATCCTTGGACTTGACATAGTTGGTGAAACGATCTAGCGACGATTGAAAGTCCCGACGATGGACAGCACGCAACAGTACGTGCAATGGATCATAATATTCCTCCCACACCTCATCGATGGGCGTGAACAGGCCCTGTTCGAGATTTTCTGAACCGCTGGATGGTGCCTTGTACACGGATAGCTTCTTAAGGAACGTCTCGAAATTCTTGGTATGCACATTGCCCGAACGTTCCGGCATCAGTTCGAGCAGTTGCGAGTGCGTCTTATTTTCGGTGGCCAGCAGGGCGCTAATCTCAATGATGCACTGGGTAGCCTCATCGTTGCCCAAATTGGTGCGACTTGTCACCAGCGTGGCCAGGAATGTGAGAAAACCCTCCAGCATGGATGATTGCTCTGGTTTCTGTGGTTGCTTCAGGGGCGCCGTTTCCAGCCATTGGCCCACATCGAACAGTTCAATTGTGTTCTGCAGAAAGAAATATTGCGACAAGTTTGTTGCGCAGATTTGCAGAAAGAATAGATCCATATCGGCCATGGAATTGCAAAAGTTCGCCTGTATGTAGGTCATGGCTTGTCCCTTTATTTGCAGACCATTGCGCACCCATTTGCCGGCGAGAATTTCGTAGAAAAAGCTCTACAAAAAATATATATGAAAAAATTTAATAAATTAGCAAAGTTTTTTTTTTTCTATATTAAAAAGATGTTGCCAATTAGTTATCGATAAATTGCGCCGCATTACATAAATTTTTAACACAGTGGCAGCACTGCCATAGCTCATAGGTATATTTACATAGAAAATGTCCAAACGATATAATTCGCATATATACGAACAGTTAAACAAAACCAAAAAATCAAATTTGAATACTTAAAATGAGCGCGAGGGAACTGTGGCGTTTACCACCACATATTTTCAGTTATCGATAAAAAAAAAGCGCGCGCAGTTGGTTGTGTTTTTTGAAAGTACATTTTCAACACAGTGGCAGCATCGCAACCGACACATACGCATGTATGTTGATGTGTGCTCACTCGCACTTATGCTTTGACCTGCGCTGGTGGCATTATACTGTAAAAATAACAACAAAACAAAGAGAAACTGTCTTCAGCCAAAAGAAGTAACACAATAAAACCTAATAAACAGCGAGAGCAGCCATCAGACCGAGGCACAGATACAAGCGAGCACGCTCAAACCGCTAGACGACGCCGCTGACGTCTCTGCCGCCATTCGCATTTTGATTTTCAACTGGCGCGGTTGCGTTGCGTTGCGCTGCGTTTGCATTCGCTGTCTGTTGCTGTTGCTGTTGCTGTTGTCGTTGCTGTTGCTTGTTCTTGTGTCAGAGTTTCTCGTTGGTGTTTGCAAACAACAAAAACGCACGCTAGTGGAAAAATGCAGCTGCTGCATACACAAAAAAAATGGGCAACGCTGTCGGTACCGTTGTTACTGCTGCTGCTGCTGCTGATCGGTGGTCAGCCAGCACCGACGGCGGCGCTTATCGAAGATGTGCTGGATATCATACATGTTGTCAAGGAGGTGACCACCGGTGTGCTAAAGGCCTGGGAAATTGTGCAATCATCGCCATTGGCGGCTAGCATTGAATTCCCACTCATGCGCGAAAAACAGCGCAAAGTGCTGCAGCGCCTGAAGATGGTCAGCCAGCAAATTGACGAGACGGAGGCACAGGTGGGCAACAGTATATAACGTATCCTTACACACATACTTAACATACAAGTTTGCATTTATTTCAGCACGCACAATATGTGGCGCTGGCCATTGAGTCCGTGAACAAATTCATTAGCCACAATGTACCGTTAATGACCAAAATGAACGATATTTCGGACACGATGAATCGCATTTCGTCACGCTATCAGCAAATGCAAAGCTATGAGGCGCACAAGGATAAACTAGAGATGAGCACACTGATCACATTTGCCGAGTGGACCGTATCGCCAAATGCTCATTCGGTGCATCATCTCATGGATCGACTGCATTTAACCCTTCTGGGCAATGGCAACGATGAGAAGTTAAACTCATCATCCAGCAATTTGCTAACCCAACTGGCGTCAAACTATGAGGTAACTTAAACGATGCAAATTCCAATCAAAAAATCTTGTGCATGCAATTTGACTTCCTATATGGAATGGAATGAATGAATGAATGAATGAATCATCGCATTGAGTTGGTTTAGTTAGTTAGTTAGTGTTGTTGTTGCCGCCGATAAAACGTTCCCAGAAGTGCTCTCAATTGAACCCGACTTTCCGGTCTCGCCGTTAAACGTTTCTTGCCCCTTTTGCCTTTGTACTTATTATTTTTTCGCCAATGGGGCAACCCCAAAAGAAAGTCCATGTTTAAAACTGCGTCGGCGTCGGCGTCGCATCGATATACAATATGTATTACTCATCGCTAGCGGAGACAACGGAATGTAATGGGACGGACGGCGGACACAAAAGCAGAGCCGAAAGATGAGCCACACTTACGCATACACGCATATGCATACGTACACACACACACATACGCAAATACAAGCGCACGCATGCGAATTAGCAGCGATTTTAAAATTTAATTTAATCAATGTTAAAGGTGCTGCTAAAATATCAATCCTTTCATATTTGCAAACGCTGCCTACACACCAAACAGACATACATACATATACATAGATATATATATATATGTAAGCGACTATTTACATACGCATACTGAGGTCAAAGGTCTTCTTGATTGTAAACATTGCGCACAAGCAGTCAAAAAACAAACAAGAACAAAACGAGTTGTTTGAACCATAGAGCAATGCAGGTATATGCTGCCCCCAACAATGCTGGGGCATGTCATTTTTGTCCCCCCCTTTTAAGTGCATGTCATGGTGGTGGCATAGCACGCACACGAGAGAGTCCGCGTATTTGTGAGAGTAAACGAGCCGAAAAAAGTGAGAGGGAGTCCGAGAGAGCGCAGAGACAGGTTAGCTCAATTTATACAGCTGATTTCGATACAAAAAAAAAATATGTCTGTGACGTCATGTTTATCGATATTAAGCCAAAGGTGGCAGGTGTATACAGCTGATCGTGCCTAGCTATGCGCCTCACACTGTGTGTGCCAAATACGGACAGACTTCGCGCTCACTCACACTCAAAACTGTGTACAAAAGTGCATTCGTGTGGGTAGAGCACAGCCACATTCAGTTTGCTTAAGCTGCTCCACGCCTGGCCACACAGTAAGAAAAGAAAAAAAAAAAAACAGCTGAGTTAGCGATTTGCTACGAGCGCAAGCGACATCGTCGAAAATGAGCACGAGACACAAGAACCATATAATACGAGAAAAAGAAAAAAAAAAAACGCTCGAAAGCGGCTCAAGGGAGAGAACACAACGAACGGGAGTATTTTCTGATTCTGATTTGTGTACGAGTACGAGTCGCACACACACACACACAGAGACGCACACACATACAACACATATTTCACAAAAGCCAGCAGAGCGGCCGAAAGCAGCAAACAGTAGCAGAACAACCAGCAACAGCAGCGTCACAAAGCTAAAAGCGTCCAATAACAAATTAAAATAAATCGCAAAATTAAATAATGCAAGCATTTCGAAACAGCCGAATAAAACTAAATTGAAATTTACACTCAACAAATTGCATTGCGTGTGTGCGAACGAGAGGAAGCGAACAAATATATTAAAAAAAAAAAAAAAACTACATATGTACATATGTATGCACTAAAAACTGAGTGAGGCAGTCTTTGTTTAAAAAAGGCTGGCAACGCTGAATTCTTGTTCGTTTTGCCATACTTCAAAAGGCAAGCGCGCGGTACAAGTGGTAAAAGTTGTTAGTGAATTAGCTATCACAAAAAAAGAAGAAGAAAAAAAAAAAACGAAACAAGCAAAAATATTCCTGGAACTCCCCAAAGTAGCGAACATCTACTGCGCAAAACATGGCGCGCAAGAGCAACAACAAAAGCCCAATGTCAGCGATAATAATGTTGTTGTTGTTGTTGCCGCTGCTCTTGATTGCTGCTGTCGCCGTCGCTGCTGCGCAGTCAACTTATGTGCATCGCACGCCCATCATCGAGGTGGATGCCCTGCGTAACGAGTATCTTAGCTTGGAGCGTTCGCTATGGCAATACCTGCAGAAAACGGCCAATAGCCTAAACAATAGAGAAACACAGCTGCGCAAGGTGTACGATTTGCATCGCAGCTTTATCAATAAACGGCAAATGGGTCGCATATTTGACAGCAAAAAATACGATGTAATGCATCATTACGAGTGGATGATGCTGGAGTCTCAATTGTCAAATCTGAACCGTCTTTTTGACTTCTATAAGGTATATATTACCAAAGAACCGACAGCAGCCGGAAATCAAAGTATATAATATATAAACATCTAATTCTTATCAGAACACTCTAATGAGCCCAATCACAAGCACTGGACTGGATGAACGCGCCGTATTGGATCTAGCCGAGGAGGTGTTGCGCAATGATACATCATTTTCAATGTCGCAAATATTTCAGGAAATCGAGCACATTATGGTCAAGCAAACGCTTTACTACAGGGCAATGGTGGTTCGTTTAATTGCATTTGCCAAATGGTTTGCGTGAGATTGTGAGAATGGGACATTACAGCAATTATTTAAGCTCGCTCTCTCCTTCACTCTCTCTCTCTGTCTGCCTTGCATGTTTGTGTTGGCTTATCAGACTGCCGTTTGTTTTTGTTTGCAACCCCCCCACCCAACTCGATATAACGACACAACGGAAATGGAACGTTGGTGTTTGTATTTTCGTAGAATACAAATAAGAGAGAGGGAAAGTGTGCAAAACAGTTGCTGCGCTCAGATTTATGAAGCAGCTCTTTAACTGGAACGTATGGCAGGTCATAACTGTAATTGAGATGTTCCATCGATAACATTGCATGCATATCAGCAGGAGTTAGAGTGAAAACGAAAGAGATAGCGAAAGCTATATTTGTTCTTAGTAGAATGTATGGCAGCTCAGGTGTGATATCGATTGCACGTAACTAAAAACCGTTTCTCTTAAAGTTTCCTGCAATTATTTATATTTATACACATTTCTAATGGTTTTTTTTTTTCGCGCATTTCCAGGTATCGGCAGACGAAATGTGCAGCACAAGACAATCGGCACAACAATTTGTGTATTCACTATACACTGACGTTGCACTAACGGAACTGAAGGGCTACACCATGATGGAGTTCTCCTGGATGATGCTGCGTGTCTACGGCCGTGGCAATTACTCACAGGAAGCGGAACTGATGCGACGCGACTACGAGAGGCGCACAGAGCGCACACTGAAATTACTTAAGGAGGTGATGCGACGTGCCGATCGCATTGTCTGGCGCTGTGATCCCGACAAGCATGTACCGCAAGTTACCTACGATGAGGTGACACGCCTGCTGCAGGGCTACATTGAGAACGAGGTGGATCTAAATTCAGATGAGACCTGCCGTGAGACGTGCGCATTTTATCAGTCTACACGCAGCGAGGGCTGCTTCAAGAATCTATATTGCTCACGGCAGCCGAAGTGTACGGGCAAACTGTATGGCTGTCAGTTTGTTGACTCCGATATGTGGGTGTGCCCGGCACCATTGAGCAGCACACGTCGCTACGAGTATATCGAGTACGAGAATGGACGTGTGCTTGGGCAGCGCAAGAACTGTGTTCGTGGCACCACCAAAGTGGACAGCTGGTGGCGCTATCTGTTATGGCATTGCAGCTACTGCTTCTGTCTGTGCGATGAGCAGGGCCTGAAATCAGATCGTTTCTTTAATCTACGCGAATCCGTTTCGGATGTCAAGCAGAACAAGTGAGTGCACAAAAGTCAGAGGAGTTCAAGTAAAACGATATATTTTATGCCCTTCTTTTTTTTTTTTTTTTTTTTTTTTGTACAGAGTAATCACGGGTTTGCGTTTTTTGAAGAAGAATCGCATATTCCATCTTCAGATACAGGAGGGTCAGCTGTTGCCACGCGGCGCCATCAATGAATCGACACTGTCATGGAAGCCCGTCGATGAGTACAAAATCTTTGATAGAAATGTGGCCAAAGGCATCGACTATCATACATTGAGCTATGAAAGCCGTTCCATCGATTTGGATGATATTATGAAAACGGATGACAATAGCTTTGTGGTCACGGGCGTGCGTTTTCGAGTCTTGGGCGCCCATCTGAATCTAGAGGCACGTCTCAGTGAGTTTGATTTCAAGAAGGGCGAACTTATCCAACCAGAGGTGAACAGCGTTTGGCAATCGAATGACAATACCGATGTTAGCGGTGAACGCAGGTAGGAGAACATACGTTCACACATACGTAAAACGCAAAAACCTTTATTTAAATCTTTTTCGCAGACAAAAGCTGCTCCTCTACAATGCTGATGTGCCCACACGCACGGTGGTCACCTCTTTGCCGCTGTCCAAGCACAATCAGTACATTGACTTCGTCAATTCGGGCATGGACAAGGATGCAGCGCAGAGCACTGTACCGTTTCTGGATATACAGGATGTGGTTTCTCAACCGCCAGTGCCGCTAGCCGGCATTGGCATCTATTATAAGGGTCGTCCCGGCTATGGAGGCTTTTTAGCGCCCAAAATCATTACCTATGATTTTACGCCACACGTCCAGCTGCCAAAGAGCATTAACTAGGTGGCCTGGCCTGGTTTTCGGCATGGACATCTCAAGATAATATAATAGCTTTCTATATGTAGGCGTACATCTAATTTCTTCTTATCGATATTAAATACAAAAAACCAGCACATTTTTGTGACGAACAAAACTTCAAAAGAATAATTTGAAAAAAAAAAAAGAAATACTTTAATTGAAAAATTAGCCATAAAGAAACGCGTTACCTATCGGAATACACAAATATACATAGACACAAATATGTATATTTAAAAAAAGAATAAAAGAAAACGTTTTAAACCCAAACAATTGTTTTTTCTTCAGTTAGACAAAGCATAAACAACATCAAGACACGCCTCAGCTGTTAATCAAATAAACAACAACGGTTGCCTACGAAATCTCTAAGAAATTGTAAGAAAAACAATAAGAAAACAATAATGCAGCAGCTAGCTTTAGGGATACCGACGCCTATGATACCCTAACTGACAATTATATGTAATCCAAATCTAAAGCTCTATTAAAAGGTTAAGCTCTTGCTGGTAGTCCAATATTGGCAACAGGTTGCTCAAGTGGGCAGCAATGAAAACAACGTTCCATTAAAATATCAATAAAACAAACATCAGACCCAATTTTTCTATGAGAGCTATACATATATGCTACAGACCGATGTTGATAAGACTTTTGTCATATTGTGAGCCTATCGAATACCGTATCTTGGAAAACAAATTCAATTGTGCACACAAAAACTCAATGACAGCTTTATAAAAAGGACATCCTATTCAGTTGACTTTGATATAATTATTAGTGGCTGTGAACTCACCTGCACACGCAGCGGATGTATCATAAGCAGGGGCAAAATGTCTGGACGCGAGGGCAGCACATCGCTCAGGCTGATGCCCATTTTGGTTACCGCTTGACAGACAAAGGCGGCCAGGTAGCGATGCAACGGGAAATGAAATGAGGCCTGCATCATTTCCTCCTGTAAAACAGAAATTGCAATTAGCATTTGACAGGGTAGAAATGTGTTGTATAAAGATTATTGTACCAGTGACAATTTGGGCTCCCTGAAGTAGATGGAGTCGAGCCACTCGTGCAGCGTCGTCACGCAATAGTTGATGATCTTTTTGGCTAGATGTGCATGTGTGCCATCCTGCAGATGGGATATAATGGACCACATGGGATACGCGCTGGCCTCCAGTTCGCATGAGAATGCCGCATAGTAGCTATTCGGTTCGAATTCCACATGCGAGGCTGTTTCGCGCACATTCACATTCATGCCCTGCAGCATTTGCAGAAACTGAAACCACATATCGATGAGATTATCATCCCGTAGAAAGACCAGCGCCACCGACTCATGCGACAGCACATTATTAAAGTCCGACACAAGTGGCCAATAGCAGTGATCCTTCATCACCTGACGCGTGCAGTCGATCACAAAGTGAAAATTCTTTGTGGGATCTGCAAATGAATTGATCAAAAATTATAGTAGTTCACAGATGGGAAATTGGCATGAATTATGGCCACCTACCATGCAGCGTATTCTGTATGAGTATCTTGGACATCATCAGTTTTAAACTGATAATCATCACATGCAGCAGCGACAGTTCGTTGACCATTTTTAAGGCCAAACTCTCATTGGAGAAGAGCTGAACGCTCATATGGACGACACGGTTGCTGAGCGTGTCCGGATCGCGGGACATTTCCAGCACCGATGGAATGCGGCTGTAGTGCATCACAAATGTGCGCGTCAGATGCTCCTGATAATTAAAACATAAATTTTCAATAACAATATGAAATTTTAAATTTAACGTTCCTGCATTTAGTAACATTATGTTGCAATACAATCAATATCGGCGATATAAATACTATCGATATTTATAGCAATCAGTGTTGTCCGTTTAACTTTTTGAAAACATTTCTAAATTTATTTTGGCAACACTGATTGGCTTTGGGTATATTTTGTTAGCGCCACTTACCTTGTAGTCCTGATCGGGCAACATGTTTAGCAGAAAACAAACCAGCGTCTGCGGAAACTCAAATTTGAATGTCCAAAATATAAATTCCTCGAGCAGTGTGGTATGCACCAGTTTCTTGCCCAGCGCCGGCAAATCGCGGTATTCATCGGGCGGTTCGGGATTCGGAAAACGATTGACCGCATCCTCATATTTTTCGCGATTGGCCTTGAGAAAGCGACCATTGCGCGTATCCTGGCAGGGTGTCTCCATAAAATATGAGTAGACATCTGTATTGATTAGCGTGCGCGTCATCACTTTGCGCATTATTTCGCCCATATTGTTCAAATCGATTAGCATATTGGCGAATGCCTCGCACGAATATGAGGTGACGGCATGCGCCTGCAATGAGGCATCGCTATGCTCACGAAAATGCTGCAGCAAACGGAACAGCAATTTTGGCATTATAGCCTCGGCAACGGCCAACAAATTGTTGGGCACTGGATCCCGATTGACCCGATTATTAATGCCGTGATCACTGCAGAAGCCCTCCGCCTTCATAACCGATGTATCACCGCAATCGCAGGCGCCGCCCGCCTGTGACAAGAACATGTTAAAGTCATGGTTGGTGTGATTGCCCTTCTTGAAGCAATCGCGACATATGGACATGCATGGCGAAATGCCGCAGGTGCGACAGCGATACGCCACCACATGGGGCACCCAGACCAGGCCGCACTTAGCGTGGTTATCATAGCTGCGTACTGCAAAAGATATTGAATAATAAAAGCTTTTATTAGCAATTTTTGGTGTTGGGTTTTCGGTTTCACTGCTGCATTAGCATATTGCACGTTATCGATATCAATCGATTGGCTAAGATATCGATATGTTAAAGTGCTGCAATATGCTATCGATTAGAGTAAGCCAAGGGATAATGAGAAGCGCGAGAGTAGCTTTTCAAAATAATTTAAAATTTCAATTTTGGTATTCTTATTCTCACGAAGGCGTGTCATTTCTTAACTAGAATTGAATTGAATGATTTCTGATTACATCTTAATGGACGTAAGCGATATTAATATGTATGAAAAGCTCCTAAAATACATCATATTCAACTTAAATGTTTTTTAATTAAATGGTTCATAGTACTGGAATTTCTTTTATAACCACAATGATCGACATTTAGTAAAATGTACATCAAAAATGATTTGTGGAAAATTGTAATTTCTCGAATTCCCGATTTCCTAGCCCCAAACTAAAGCCGAGCAATATTGCATTGCAATATGAATTGATAAATTCAAAAATAGAAAATACGTATAGAAATGTTCATTAATCAGCGGTTTATACATGCGGTTTACGGATCGTAACAATGCACCGCACCGCGTTGAGGTTCGGCTGGTGAAGCCTGTTTTTCCTGCTGGTGTGACTCATTTTAAATAATTTCAAATGAATATTTATTGACAGTACTGCCAAACTAACTAATTTTACATTATTTCCAATTATTAAAAAAAAAGTGTTTTTTAAGCACAAAATATGGTTATTCTTTTCTCAATAGAAATGGTTTTTGTTTTTTCGAAATTTGGCAACACTGGCCACGATACCAATTCATATTGCTAGCTGGGCGCGATCAGCGTACCCCACCCAGAGACGCGAAAGCGTTCGTTGTTGTTGATACGGTCGTTTTATTGATTTGATTAAATTCCAAAAATAAATATGATGCACTCATTGCTGCTGGCATATTTAATGTTTTGCTTGGTTGCGTGACTTGTCTTTGACGTTTGGTTTTGCCTGGGCCTCGGCGAAAAGGTCAACCTTATGCGGAAGGAAAACCATTGAAAGCGGCAGAACTAACAACAACAAAAATAACATCAAGAACAGTTAACGCATTGAAACAGTAAAGTTGATTGACAATTTTGTGAATTGGTCTGGCAATGGCGATCGACAAGCTGCCATGCAACTCTGCGTGTGTTTCTCTCCCACTTGCTTGTCCCGTGTCCCCAACCGTTGTCATGCTGAGCACAGAATTGTTTTTTTTTTTTTGGGTTTTTTTTTTTGACAACGTTCGATGCAACGGCCATTTGACGATTTTCTGTTTCGTTCATCAACGAATTGAATGAGCAAATTCAATGCGCATGCATATGTGTACGTGTTGTATGTGTGCAAGCAACAACAATAACGGTCAACAAGCAATTGCAAGGCCCAAAAGAAAATAAATAAATAAAATAAACTAAACTAAAAGTAGAACAAGAGCGAGCGAGCAAAATGTATGCAGATTGCACCGTGGTGCCAAAGCCGGCATTTGTAATGTAAATTTGGTTATATGCGATTTTTTATGGAGCTTTCGCTGTGTATCGTGTGCTGCTGGCACTGTGCATGAAACATGGCGTGTCAACAATTGTCAAATCAACAACAATGACGGTCAATAAACTTTTCCCAGTGTACCATCGGGCATGTGTGTGTACAGAGATGTTAGCGACTCGCTCTCTGTGTATGTGTGTGTGTGTGTTTGTGTGTGTTTCCATGGCACTGGCACGTAGCGTTTTCATTTGCAATTTTGCAATTGTTTGAAATGATTTCTTTTTTGCACATACAGATACACACACACACGCACGCACACACACACAAGCAATCAAATGTATGTAGCTTGCTTGCTAAATTAAAGCAAAAATAATGTAAAAAGAGAGCAAAGCAGCGCTCTCTCTTTCCGCCGCCTGTGACAAGGGTGGTCACTCAGTCGCATTTTTTCACAAACACAAACACACACACACACACCCATGCATATGGGCACAGACGCAGCTGCGTTTATTTGGACTGATGCTGCGGAAACATTACGCAAGGCAAACCGAACAACAGCTGACAGGCACAAGGTGCAACAGCTAGCCATGCGCGTGTGTGCGTGTTACAAATGGGACATCGTCCATTTGGTTGCTGACAATGTGCGCAACGCATGCTGCCTGGCACAACAACGCACCAATGTAAATAGATAATATGCCATATTTAATTTGTGCTAAATGGGCTTAACTTAACGAATGCGACTGATTCTCTGTGTGCGTGTGTGTGAGTTTGATTAGGCGCTGTCTCTATGTAGCTTAAGTGTTTATATGTTTGTTGTTTTTTGTTACCATGGCGTTGCACTGTCACGCTGCTTGCACCTTGCTCTTACTTGCGTGCCATATACCATGCCCTACAACCATTTCACACAAACACA